CTATAATCTACTGTAAAGAGATTATACTGGCTTTAATTATATCTATAATATTATTAGATATAAGTATTATTAGCATGATATATATACTGATATAAAAGAATATATAAAAATATATAATATCTATTAATATATTAAAGTATATAGATATATATCTTATAGAAAATTAGCTCTGCTTTTAATCTCTATAAGGCCAGAAGATATTATATCTATAGATTTTATTATAGAATTACTCTCTAGTAAGTAATAGAGAAAGATCTATAATATATTATTAATTACAGTAGATATACTGACTAAGTATACTATCTATATCCTATACAGTAAAGATATTGATACACTATATTTTATAGAGTTAATATATAATATAATAGTTCCTATATTTAGGAATCTATAATATCTAGTAACTAATAGAGATACAGTATTTACTAGTTACTACTAGACAGCACTATATAATTATTTAGGAATAAAGTAGAAATTATCTACTGCTTTTTATCTATAGATAGATAGATAAACTGAGTATCAGAATTAAATACTAGAATATTATCTATATATATACTGTAATTTTCTTCAGGATAATTAGGCCCGCTGGCTACCAGTAGTGCAGTATATATATAATACTACAGTTCACAGTACTACCAAGGTAACACCTTTCTATATATTAATAGGCTTTATACTAAATCTATAGATTAATATTAATAACAGATTACTGTATATAAAAGCTCTAGAAATAAAAGAAAGAGCTAAAAAGCTTCAGTAAATATATAATATAGTAAAAAATATACTTAAGAAGTCTAAAACTACAATAGTAACACAGTATAATAAATATTATATAGATATACAGTTTAAGATAGAAGATAAAGTACTGGTATAGATAAAGAATATCTTTACTATATAACTGAATATTAAATTAGATTACTGCCAGTTAGAACTGTTTATAATTATTGATATATAGAGAATACAGTCTTATAAACTAAGACTACTACTATAATATTACTGCTTATATCTAGTTTTCCATGTCTTATTACTAGAGCTATACTACCAACAGAAAGATTAGAAGGTATAGCCACTACCTATCCTAATTAATAGAGAGAAAGAATAAAAGATAGAATATATCTTAATAGAAAAATATACTTAAAATAGCAAAATACTATATCTAGTCTAATAAACAGGATATATACCTGCAGATAATATCTAGAAACTATTGGAGTATATATAAGAAACTCAAGCATTTAATAAATATTAGTATAAGAAAGGAAAGACTGACTGTACCTAGAGTGCTGATATCTATAAGGGACCTACAAAACAATAATAATACGGATATAGTTTACTAAGTAGCAGAAATAAATTATATTAAAAAAAAAAAAACAAACTATAGAAATACCTAAAGACTGTATTCTATCTATCCTAATCATAATTAAAAGACAAAAATACTCTATCTCCTATACCTGCAGATCAGCTCTAGCAGAGTCCGCTTAGCGGAAGAGAACTTATTTAAAGAGAGAAATGAATACACCCAGCATACACTGGTAGAGAGAACAGGGGCTTATAGGGAATGGAGTGGAAGGAGCTGATGATCCTGAATCTGGACTACTACTGCCACAGCGGGCCGCACCTGACACTACACGCGCAGGACAAACAGCAGTGTTAAGAGCATAAACTGCAGCTTTAAGAGGCTCCTTTATTACAACAGTAGATAGAGACTGCTTAAAGCGATGGCATGCCACCAATACCGCATCTGCCTGTATGATAGCCTTAGTAGATATCTGCCGCATATATCAGCACCACCTAGTATTAGGGATCAGGAGATATTACTTACTGGTACACAACAGTGGTGACTATCCGCACAATAAAGACAGATATGGCGGCCCTCACAGAACACATAGGCAATACTTACCCCCGATAGGGCTGAACTACAGTGCCGGAGACACTGCAGGCACTACTCCTTACTATTCTTAGATAAGGGAGTGCTCGCGTTATCTTCTGAAGATAAGAAAGCCTTATTCTCTGAAGAGAGGGAAGACAAGAGATTTTTTCTACTTAAGGAAGCTAAAAGCATAATATCATTCCTGCTGAGAGAGCCCAGTGGTGCAATCATTTTCTCTAGAGAAGAGACCAGAGACAGACTCAGCAAAAAGTCTTCAAAAGAAGAAGAAGCAGGAGGAGAAGCAGAAGAAGATATAGAAGAGACTGAAGCCTACTGGTAATATAGATAACAAGCACAGTTCTTCTTCTTGTGCCTATTAGCATAGTAGAGTGTACAAGCGGCAGCAGATCAATATTTAGCCATCTGTTAAATATACTAGTGGAATCAGCATACACATAAGCCCATAAACAAAGCTAAGAAGGAAGCGAGAAAGAGCTTAATATAGAATATAATTATTAGCAGGATAACAGATGCAACAGTGCCACACCTGATAGCTTAGAAGATCTTAAAACCACAAGATACAGGCAATGTAATGAGCAGAATAGGATACTGCAATCAGAATAATCTGAACATATGGCATGAGGCGGAAAACAAGGCGCTTACCATAGATATAGAAGAGATTAGTAATTGAGAAAAGGAATAAGAAACAGCGTGTGAGAAATTGCTGTATAGCAGGTAATGTCCAATATAAGCAGCGCCTAGGCAACAGAATCAGTGAATAGCATAACACAACCACAATACAACATCGCTGCCTGATATTAAGCAAGTGAATGGAACCGAGCGTTTTATACCATAGAGCACATAGCAGGAATCAGGATCAGACCCTGTATAACACAACTAATATTCCTATACTTCCTGAAATAGAAAACGTGAGGCTATCCCCAAGCGTGAAATCACACACTGCTCAGAATCACCGAACGCCTACACCACGCGCCTGCAACCAACCCTATATAAGCCAGGATTCTACACTCGCATAAATGAGCACCTACAAAGCCCTGAGGCCAGGGCTTTCCGAGAGAGGGGGATAATGTTAGGCGCACCTTACAGTGCCTGCGGGTGATATAGTAGCACGTGCGGGTCATGTGCTACCCGCTGCGGTAAAATCTTTACTGCACCCCAATGGCTTCAGAAACCAGTGATCAACCTCTGTGTATGGTAGTAGATCGTTCAATAGAAACCCAGTCCTCTGCTCCTGCCACCTGCGGCGCTGTAGCACGCTATTCCCCCTACTACCTGCGGCTCCCTGAGCTGCAATTAACAATAGGAATATTGATAGATATACTCTATTATAAGAGGCATTATATATTAAATATAGCTTTAAGTATTTATTGTACCTTATTTCTTCTTCCAGAATACTATAGGGCCTTTAGTAGTTCCATGAAATGTACCCTAAAATATTTACTCTATCTTATGTGAGCACTGTTCAATGATATAGTCTTCATAGAAGATCTTATTCTTCTGGCAAGTAACCCACGTACATGTATGGTGACCTGGATTTACCCATATTTCATCAGACCATAGTATGGCTTTCCATTGACTAGAAGACCAGTTAAGGTAATCTTATATCTAGAGAAGTTATTTCTGCTTATTCTCAGAAGATAGTAATAGTTTTATTCAAGTAATATATCTTTAATAGTCTCTAGAAAGTAAGGCTAATCAGATTATCTATTAAGAATAGCCTAGATCAAGATATAAGGCTAATTCTTTATAAGTAAGATATCTTATATATCTTAAAGAGATAATAAATTTAATAAGATAGTTAATCTTCTCTTCCTTTATTGCTAATGGTCAACCAGATCTTTTAGAAGGGGTAGGATGACCAGCCTGGCAGGCTAGTTAAACCTGATATATAGAAATCCCTAGATGATTTGTAATATCTTTATATTTTATATTTAGTGAGCACAGGATTAGGATTTGCAGGTGCTCATCTCTAGTTAGTTGAAAATAAGGAGGTGTAGAAGGAGCCATAATGCTTTGGTAAAGAATTGATGTTGGTGGTCATGGTCGATAAATGATAATGGCACGGAGTTCATCCTATTTCTACGCAGTTCGGTGACCCACCACACTAACGTTATTTACTCAATATACCATAGTAGATCATGTGCATGACAGGGTCTACCACATCCCCAAGCTGAGCAACCAGAAAAGTTCCCAATTTCTACTTCAGGCCACGAGTGAAGCCAACAAGCCTAGATAGACTTCAATGGCTACCCCCACTTGAAAATATACTTGTCTCTATCAAATTTCACGCATCTCGCGGCCTGAAAGCTAGCCCACTCGGCCTTTTGTCCCCACACTGACAGTCGAAATGAGCGCACTGATCACTGAAAAGTCCGGGGTTTGGACCAGTATATATAGTATACTACTAGCAGAAAGGGACTGTCTCATCTTCGGTCATGTGATCTCGAAAATACATCCGACAATCCTGTACCTTTGTAACGACTGTACAATTGTAAAGATGTACATTTGTAGAAGCTATGCATTCGTAAGGACTGTGCATTTGGAAGAGCTGCAGTTTGTAAGGACTGTACGTTTGTAGGTGGCTGATTCTGTAAGTATAGGATATGTTGTGTGTTGTGTTATACTATGATAGAAATAATCATTAAACGCCATCCGAGGGCATCTTCAGCACTATTAAGAACCTTGGGATACCAAGCAGATGGGGTAGTTGACACCAAGAAATATATACAAAGGATATTATTTAAATCTCCTTCATAAAGTCAAAATTGCCACCAACAAAGGTGGATCACGCTGATATTCTCTACTATAGATTATAGATTAGCTTAAGAGTGTGGATGAAAAATCCTGTCCCTATTATTTATAGGCCAGAATTACATAGCTAGACTGATTTCAGATAATATAATGTTTATACTGTTGGCTTTAACAGCAGACTATATAAGCGAACATGAAGTAAATGGCCACCGCATGCGGGACAGTTCTGCGCTTATAAAACCCTGCTCCAGGCAAGCAGAAATTAGGAAGCTCCGGTAAATGGATTATTAGCAGAAACTTGCATTACTTTTAGATTACACTTGAATTATTCAAGTGCCTGAAGATATCTCATCACGGTTATTATATTATGGAGAAAGTTATCTATTCCTTCAATGGAGAAACTGTTGCAGGAGTACTCTTCTGATCCAAAAATGTGCCAAACCCGCCCAGAATTGTGATTACTGGTTCTTATTTCTTTATAAAGGAACAGGCGCCTTTTCAGTATAGTACATGTCTAGCTGATAAAGGCTATACCACTCTAATCTTCGATCTACACACAGTTGGGAAGAGTACCGGTCAGCCCCGGCAATTAGAGAATCTGAAAATAAAGAATGAGGATATTGTTGCTGGTCTTGATTACCTCCAGTTGCGTGGCGATATCAATAAATCTAAGCTCTTCTTGGTCGGTATCTGTCAGGAAGAACCAGAGTTGTTGGATGTAGCTTTATATGATAACTGAGTGATTGGAGTAGCATCCGTGACTGGATACTTCTATGACCATGAAACCGACGTGTATATGATCTGTGCTGGGTGTGTCAATACAGAACCCGGTACGGATATCTCCTCTCTGAAGATGCCTACACCGGAACAAGGTGAAGCGCTCTATCAAGCATAACTATAGAGAGCACACGAGGCTAAATTGTTTTATGAGAAAACTGGAGAGATTATCTATCAGCCCCTCGTCGATCCTAAAGTAGCAGATCCTGATACTGGGTCATTGGCAGGCCTTCCCGGTCCGGTTGTATGGGCATGGTATGGCCCGTGGACTCTGAAGGGATTTGACAATAGGTATGCTGTGATGAGTGATCTAGATCACTTTGACTATATAACTGTGCCTGGGGTTGAATGACTCACAAAGCCTGTACTGATCATCCATAGAGATACCTGTATGAATGTGGCAGCTGCGAAGCGCCATTTCGAGTCAATTCCCATGCAGAAGAAGAAACTGATTTGGGATAATGATGTTTTGCATTTCCAGCACTATAATTAACCCGATTGTGTTGATTGGAATGTTGACAATATTGCTGATTGGTTTGTGCAGGTTAAATAGTATAAATAGGTGCTAAAGCTCTTGTGAAGACCCTTGCAGCCTGTGGATATGTCATGATGACTTGTGGTCTATGGCTCCAACGGTTCAGACTTTATCGAGCTCATTCTATCCTGTTGTACGGTTCAGATAGAAACAATTCTATGAGTAAAGTAATTGCTTTTAATCTTCATCATATAGGACTATGCCTATTCCCAAGGCATCATAGACGAGTGTCGGGCAGAATATTAAAAGATACTGCAAGCAGTTGGAATGAGAGTTATTCGTCGAGTCTGTGTCCGAGAGAGAAAGGAATAGTAGATATATATACTGTTCCACCAAAGTTGTTATGAATTTGAGGTCAGCCCCGAAGGATCCGAAGGATCCGATCCGATCAGCTAGTTCCTCACCAGGCTCAGAATCAGAGGAGGTGGCAGACAAAACAAAGAAAAGGCAGCATGAAAGGCTGAGTGCCAAGCTGGTGTAGGCTACGTAGACTGCTCGCATCCATGCCTCTGGATGCCATTTACAGGGATATGCTTGATTTACGAAGCGCTATCAAAAGCCTGCGGGAATAAAAGAAGATTGCCACATTTGGTTTGGTATCGTTTCTTTCCTCACTTCGAATTTGCACTTCCTGAATTGGTAGGAGCTTTTATTTCATTGCTTCTTAGCAAAAGTGCAAGAGCTCGTACGCCGCCGACAGTATTTGAAATTAACCGTACATGGAATGGCCAGCTGATTGTCGTTGGCATGAGGGACTAATGCCGACTAGTTATGAGTATTCCAAATCTTTTTCTCTAATGCATCTGGGTTCCATGTCCCGCATCATAAGAATCCCTGTCAATGTAAAGAAAGGGAAAAATTAACAAGATTTTGTTTTCCACTTGAACAGATGACACACCGGTCACGCAGACAGGGGTAACCAACACAATGCAATACGTTAATACCTAATATTAGGCCAAGCAAAATTAAAACCAGGCCAGCGCAGTCAGTTACATGCCACCCAGTGTTGTTTGGTCTATGCATAGAGCTAATAAGAGATGTTGTATACATGGCACAGCTATGCACAGCTTGAAACCAAAGTATATCTAACCTAGCATAAGCCCCATGTAGTAACGAATTAGACACATATTTTCAATCTTGTAGTTTGCGTTAGAGCTTACTATTGATGCTCATCCTATGGGCGAGACACCCTCTGGACTTTTCCTCCCCCTTCGCAAGCTCATTCTCAGCATCAGCACCCATAGTCCTTTTGTATAGACGAGGATCTGTCTTTCTCAGAAGATATAAGGATGCATGCTTCCCGTCGCCCTTCCTCGTTGAGCTCTTAAGTCTTAAGATTATCTACTGTTAGCTCTCTTCTACTTTTAGTCCTCTCATCGCTTATATCCAACATCAAATCATAGAAATGGATGCTCAGGATTCTGGGAAAGGTTGCCAGAAACGCTCTCTACGTACAAATATACAGGATCCCTTTTCTCGTAAATCTATCAATTGCCATACTATAGGTAGGGCACTATCCATGATGGCCTTTGTTTGAGATCAAGTCCTTACCAGAATTGATAGACCTGGATGTTGGACACAGTAGACATGAGCAACCGCCCGTTGCGGCTGTTGTGGATGGTCCTTCTAAACAGGACATAGGCCCGAATCAGGCCATATCTCTCCAGTGGGGAAAGCTTTCCGAAGGCAAGGAATTCTTATCGGTAAATCTCAATGAATGGTACTCAGCGTACGTACATGGCCTGTGCGCAGCATTTCATTGATGAAGTACAGTACTCATCTTACGTTCAGTCGCTGGCCGCTTTAATCAACATTCGCCTTCCGTTCCAGCATTCTCCTGATCGACTCGTTTCTGTGTCTGAGTCAATGTCTCCAAGGGTTGCCCGGACAACTAAAACTTTCCCTTACATCCCACTAAGATCGTATATCCGACAGTTTATTGTGACTGGAAATGACACCACGCGTTCTGCAAACCTGTTTCGGCGATGATTGGGAAGCCGGACTTGGATGTGTATGGAAGCAAGAACGCCCTAACTACTTGCTTACTGCTAAGAGTGGTCGGTGGAGAGCGACCAAATTTGCCTATGATATTCTTCCGGACGAGCAGATACCATTCTTACGGCCACTCCGTGGACCCGCACAGGGGCAGAATAGGCTGGATGAGATATTGAACGGAGCACTATAGAGCAGTGGTCATGCCAAACAGAGAGGCACTCCCCAAGGTAGCCTTGAAGGGTTAGGGCCAACGCTCATAAAGATAGAAAAACGTTTAGGCGGACTTTGTCCCAGTACACAAATCCATATCCTAACTCTCAGATGTCAATAAATGCAAAAGAAGCAATATTGAAAGGAAAGCTCGCCTATTAACATAGCAGGCATATTACTCACCACCACCAAGCTGGCATCCTTGTCGAATGTCAGACAATCGGGAGATTGAGGATGTTCTGCCGTTGCATTCAGCACTTGAACCATTTTGACAAGATGTTCCCCAGGAGGATATCATGCCACGAGGGCCAACAGGGAAGAAAGAAGTTTCACTAATCTAACCCCCCATGTACGTATTAGGGCGAGTTCACAGAGAGGACTCAACACTAATCAACATTAACAGTGAGGTTTAAGAGGTCGATGGGGTTCCTTGCAGGATTTTACTGGTGTGGAGGACTCTGCTCCTGAGGCATCCGGTTCCCTCCTGGGACTAGCTTGGATTTGTATCTCACTGACTATACAACTAGAGCATTGATTCATATACTTCTTCAGCACTCCATAGATGTTTGAAATTCATACCATGGCCGGAGTCCTAGGTAATGGAACTTGAATGGAGACAATATAAAAGTACCTCTCGCCAGAGCTCCCCCGTACAACCTCAGAACCCTCCAATTTTCACTGCCCATACTCCCGCTTCCAACGCACTACGGAATCTTTATTGATCAAGCCTGAATCCAGTAGTGTGGGATGTGAGATGAACAGGCTGACAGTGCTGCCCTTCACCTTCAATGAACTTGTCCAGTTCACCGCGATTCAACCGACCTATTAGGTCCTCGATATTTTCGGAAAGACCCAAGTACACGCGCACCCCTTTTTTGGGTGCATGGCATGCCACAAGGCTGAGAAGAACATGCTGGTCTCTATCTAGTGCAACAAGCGTACCAGCCTCACCAGGCTCATCTACCGCAACTTCGAGCAATACACTGTATTCAGTGAATTAATCAAGGTTTGAATCATGCTCATAAGTGAACGAAGAGACCAAAAGGGGAAAAATAAAAAAAAATAAAAAAAGGGAGACTTAGTCCAACGAAAGGAATGATACTTACACCCACACTGCATTGGCCGGCATCTGGGTCAGACGCGAGGAGCGCAAGCTACTCATCCCAAAACTATGCATTTCCTCAGGGTCGATATTCAAGAAACCACCATAGCCATCCCTAATAAACAAAGAGTCCGATATATCTGGGAAATATTGGAAACTGGCACCCTCAAGTATCGTGGGATCATAAGCAGGCACAAGGTACAGGCGGTCTCCCTTGCCCACATAAAGAGCGGCGGTTTGGTTTCTATCGGTGAGCATCTTCCCTTGCATTCCACGAATCCTGGTGAATGGATCTTGCAGGTCCATCGTTGATGGTTTTTTCATATATATTACTTGAGCAGTATTCTTTTCGGATAATAGAGTCTCGAATTGTTGAAGGCCTAGAGTGTTAAAGTTACTAGATGATGTCCTGTGAACTGTCAGCTCGAAGTTGATCTCAGGCACTGAGAAGCTCAGTTGAAAACATGAAATACCTGATACAGATCGGATTCTTCGATAGCAATGTGCGTTCATCGATTGTAAATATGCTGGGGTTCGTTGGTATGCCGAGGTAGATCTTGTTCTTGACACCGAGATCAATGCTGACTCCAGGGCAATCCTTTTCTGCAGAGGCCTGAGCAGTAGCTTCCGCAGAAATCTTATCATATAAGCCAACCTCAGCTTTCCACTTCCCGCCAAATGCATCTATCCCAAGTTCAAGTCCTAGGGGAAGTCCAAAACTCAGTGTCACTGATGAAGAACCTCCTTGAGCATTGGCGATTGGGGTGAAGCCTGGGCGAAACCCATCAATAGAGCCTGTCAACTGTTTGAGGTCCAACTTAGCACGGGTATGGTCTATCTTGAGCGACCCTCCGACTTCAATGGTAGACTTCTTTGAAGCAGACAGGTTTACAACAGCGTTCAAAGAGAGCTGTGGCCCAATACTGATAACTTGAGGGATCTCTAATTCCAAGAGGTTCCAAGCTACGATCTCCTTTTTGTAATCGATCAGGTTAGCCTTTTCCTCCAACGTGATAGACATTGCCAAACGCGAATCTAGATCGAACCCGACATCCAACTCGGCTTTATCGACTCCCCCGTGTAAACTGAAAGATATATCCCCCGTGACTGCAAAGCTTCCCTTTGCATAACAGTTGTCAAACTGTAATTTTCCCGACAGCGCACTATCACTAGCCAATAGAAGGCCGCTACCGGTACCAAAAATAGGAGAGAGACCTGGCAGAAGCGTGTTGGTGGCCCCAATGTTATAACTCCACGAGTGCGAGTGGGATAGTGACCATTCATAACCCAACGGATCTCTAATAAACTTTCCGAGCTCTTTGAAATCTTGCAATATGCGGCGAACCGCGGGCAATTTATCGCCAATCCATGAAAGACCATGGGCGAAGACCGTAGTTGTCCGATGGAAAAGGTCACCGAGATCAATACCCCAATAATAAACAGGCCCTGTTTCGCCGACCATTATCTGCTGCGAGGCTAATCCGGTGTCAAAAAAAGATGTTGATGGCCTCTCGCCGAAAAAACGATGAAGAGCATCCTCATTATTAGATATGTCCTGTACGTCTTTCAAATCACCCCGTTGGCTTTGATCGTCTATCGAGCTCCCCTTGTGGGCCTCGAAATGGCCAAAGCGGAGATTACCACCTTGTATGATACTTGGAAAGGTAATCTCCTTTGTTTTGGCGTGGATGCATTCCTTCTTATTGTACTCCAACTGAGATGATATGATCTGCCAGTAAGTTCTTTCTCCTTGATAGTACCTTCCACAGCCCGGGAAATGAGGGGATATAATGACAGGGGAATTCTCTAGCTTAAGATCCCAGTTCTTATGTACAACCTCTCTAGCTTTCTCATTGAAGCAGATTGTAAGTCCATCCGCAGAGCAGTCCACGCTTTGAATATGAGCTGAGTGGTCCAGGATGACAGTTGGATAGATGAGAGTGGCATTCAGACTACCGAACGCAGTAGGGTCCGTCGCTATCCCCGATTTAGTGTAAGGAGCTGTCATCAATTGAAAGTGAACAACAGGTTATTACTCACTTTTCTTACCCTTCTCTGCAAAATATAAAGAGTGGTCGAGCCGCGGGATGAGATGCTGTAAATCGAAAGGATTATGCCCCGGAGGATATGTGGGGTGCAGAACCTTTGGTGGTAGAATCGACCTTGGGTGGGCATTAGAAAACCTCCCGGATACACCCACTGCGAAGAGCAAATATGTCCAACAAAGACTGATCTTCATGATGGAATGAAAAAGTATCCCAAGTTCCTCTTCAAGCTCACCTAAAACTTGGACGATATTCACACCATTAACGTAGTATGCGAAGGCATCCTTAAATATTATTTTGAATGCTCATCCTACATACTACTAGAACAGATTTGATGCCAGCCGCACGCAGACCTGAGACCCCCCGATCATCATTCAGCCAGTTATTGGCCATTGAAAGATCCAGATGCCTAATGAAGGCCTCAGGCCGAGCCACAGATGAGGGCTACATCTAGTTTCCCCTCCAGCAGACTGCTTTTGAAACATGGACGGCTCAGATATTACCTGGTCTAATGCGAAGTGCCCCACTATGAATTCATATTTCAGTTCTAGTTAGTCAAGAGGAGAGACGATCTGCATGAACCAGATCAGCGAACCAATAACCTTCCCGTAATAAAAGATGTCCGAACCGACGATTACATATGGCCATCAAACAGATGTGGGGGAGGCATAAAGTACAACACATGCAGCGCGGAGTGGCTGGCTGAATTGCTAATACTAATGGTCCGGGTGTAGCCGGATACTCTCAGCTGAACCTTACAAGTAGTCAAGACGACCCTAGGAAGAACTAACTTCCTACACAGGGGCAAAAAAGCTTCCAAAGGTGGACTAAGCACCACTGCGCCATTTCATACCTAAGCAGTTTTATTATAGTAAAGTTGCGAGTCATCCTGAAGGGAATGGCTATCTTCCTTACAGGTGAACACATCTCCTACCCCCACACCTGAATGTCTGGCGGGACTAAAACGGTGTTGCAGTTTTCATAAAGCCAGTCAAGTACTGTAGACCCTGAAATCAGCAACCCAAACCCACCCTATATATTGCAGTGAGGTTACATCACCACCAAGAGATTTCGCTCTGCCTATGGCTTCTTGGCGCTGCCCCACTGATAAATAATTGCGAGCTAGTTGCCGGACCGGGAGTGGCGCGAACAACCTCCAACCAACTGCCCTACATTTTTCTAAATTAGTATAATGCATACTAATTTAAGCTGCATGCTACTATCAGAAGGCCTGGGATATTAACCTAGCCCCGGGTCTCCCGTTGGTTCCCGATACTTCAAACCACTCCAAAAACCACCAAGGCTTAATCAATACGTACAGTACATTTGGCTTACGCTGTCTCACTCACCAATCTGACTATCGCCGGAGATTTGGGAGATAGGACCTACCAGATGCAGATTAGCCGGCCGTACACAGTACTGAGATCTGCTCCTCAAACTACCACTAAATTGGTGATTTTACCTCATCCTATCGCTTCCTTTAGTGAAGACGATATTTATCGATGAAACCCGTTGTATTGCACTAAACTTGACTTCATTATTGTACTAGGCAGGAGCATAGGGTGCGAGAGGGCGATTCAGAATAAGTAATGGATTTATGTACGACACACAGGGTATATTACAAAGGTGTGGAGACTCGTCTGGATGGTATGCATGCGCTAGTCATGGGACTGTGGGAGATGGCCTGACATCGATTCGCCTACCTTTCCTCATGTTAGATCCCTGAGGAGATTGGATCTAGCACGCACCATCAGCACCTGCATATCGCTTAGTTGCGAGGGTCAGCTTATGAATACACACCCACACCCACACCCACATACCATCAGCTAGGTCTTCCATATTAGAAGGTGGCGATGGAGATTTCTCGTGCGAACTGAAGGGGGTTAGATTCCACTTAGGGCATGGATATTTCAGCTTCATGTTTGCCTTTTCATACGCAAATCCTTCGTGTGTGACTGGAGCTTAGTTAGTTGCATTGGCCTCCGATAGTGGCTCTCAGAATGTAGTAGCGTCATTGCGGTTTTGACCGAGTCTTCAACTTCTCTTAGGCCGAACATAAATGAAGCCGTATTTTCCTAACCACCTCTTCATTATCCATCCCTTCGAACTCTTCCTCTTGTACAATCTATCGTCGCTTAATATTCCTTCGAGTCTTTAATAATTTCGCAACCATGGTTAAGCGATACGCATATGTGTCGGTACGGAACAACACTTCAAGTCCCGTTCACAATGTGAGCGTGATACACAAGTATAGCGATGTTTACCGCAGCAAGGAGATCTGGCCTACTATTCAGTCAGAAGAGCTCGCCGAGGACAAGATGCTGGTGAACTACAACACTGGCTTTCTTACTACAGGTCACGACTGGTGGCTCATTATGTGGGTCAACAACGAGGGCAACACTCTCTATTATTCTCATCCACACAATTTCCGTGATATCCTCGACAAGATCGAACGACTCGGGAACGGGATTTTGAAGTCGCTGTCTAAGCTAGAGGGCGGAGAGAGTGGCCAAGCTATGCGAGAGGCTGCGCAATTAATCCTCAACCAAGAAGGCACGGCGGGCTTCAAACAACATATGTTGGAGTCCGACGACAACGACAAGCTTACTGAAATCGTCATAAATTCGGACTACACCATTACCTTCAAGTCACACTCGGGCACATCCAACACCGTTACTGCAACAAAGGAGCTGTAATGATAGCCAAGATGAAGGGGCACCATCTGTTAGTCTGTATCTGGTTTGAGCCTAAGTCCAGCAATCATCTGCAAATGTTCTGAAGTACGAGTGGAGAGATAATTCAAGATATCGCTGTTGGGTTGATGTATCTACTTGCAGATCTGGCAAATATCAAATACTACCTCTGGTTGATAGGGACGGCAATTTCCCGTATTTAAGAAAAGTTACGGTAAATAGGGCCTTTTGACTTAAAACATAAGAAAATCAGTAATTTATAGTAAATAAGCTATGCCATATTAGTAAACTATATCGGGAAGTATATTTTGGGGTTTTGCCTTCGCGAGTTGCTTCCAACCCTCAAACGCGTCTTAACTACAGTATCCACAAATAGGCCTCGCCACGGGTTACCCGCCAAGCACCCATTTCAGCATAATTAGGCCACGCCAAGATGCGTAAAAGTGCTGATTCATTCAAATAAATTACTATTATTTACAGCTGTAACTGTTTCGGTAGGGAATACTATTAGTATTCTACCTACTGTGATGGCCTGTATGTCACGTGGTTAGGCAGGCCTACTTCCCACAACACAAATCCTTGTATGATAGTGTTTCCCCTCTCATAGTTGAATTCAGTTGGAAATGCTACCGTACCTAGCTGTCTATCGTGGACATAGCTATCTATGAATGAGCAGTCATCACACCTACTATCTTGGTGTCTTAATGGAATCGATCTGAATCCTAGCTTTTCTACAGTAATAAGAGTAATTCCACTTCTCTGATTGGAAACTTAATTATAGTATGAAAGGGTTAAGTACAAAAGGGTGATATCTTGCTTGTTTATAGTTGTAAAGATACAATAGTTTGTCAAAGTCTGATTACACCCAAAAAGATCAAAAAATTGCAATAATTTCAAAATCAAATTTGCCAACCAATTCAAATGGTTTTAATCTACAAATGAGTTCTATATATCCCTCATTCAATACTTTGCATACCAGCCACGTGCTCAATATACTGCCTGAAGCCTGCGAGGCATAGAACGAATTAAGCGATCTATCACCTCCTGGGGTATAGCCCAGCAAGCTTCCTGAATATGCTTTCTAAAGCGCCTCCAGTCAATTTTTGACCTTCCTCCTAGTAAGAGCATAGGGCAGAGCTCTAAAAGCTTGCGCGAATAAGATGGCCAATCTAGAACCCAGATTCCATGAGATCCAAACCACCAGATCAGATCGACCACCTAGCTATATAGAACCCCATACCATTTGAGAAATATTTTTCCATGGTTCATTAGGTTCACTAGATCACGTCTGTAGGCCTCGTTTGAGAATCGAAAGACATATTGGGTAGAGAAATTAGACTCTCTCTGTACCGAGCATTTGTCAGAAAACATGATTTTATTCCAAGTGGACTTTTTCAACCACGTATGCGCAAATTGAAGACGCTTTTTTTAGCTATCTCAGGCGTTAGAGCTATACGCTTCTTACTTTCCCCTTTTTTTAAATGAAATCGTTTTAGAACCCGCTTGATTGTTGAGGTCGAGACCCAGGAATCGCTATTTGCGTATAGAGCTCTATAGTTAAGCTTAGACCTTCGACGAGCCAGTAGATATATATAGCGCTCAGTAGAACGATCAAGCTTTGCAGGCCTCCTTTTTGGTTGAATAGATTGTATTGCGACTGACGCCAAATGGCTTAGCTAATTGAGTTGGAGACTTATTGTTTTTTAGAGCAGATAAAATAGCCGCTCGAGCCTCCATAGAAAGCTCTGCATTAGGCCTTCTGTTTCCGCTTAATTCAGTCCCAAAAGATCTCATTTTGATGTAATGACAGATAGTTGAAGAAGGTGAGTTTTTTTGACACGTCGCGGGATAGGAATAAACCGAGGGACGGGGGTTAGGAACTATAATCAGGGAGGGAAGCGTTCAGCCAAGGGGGCTCATCAGGCCGTAGGGCATCCATAGCGGCGTGCTCAGCAGCGACGATCTTGTAGAAAAATCTCGGGATTTGTATGGTAATTTGGCCCTTCTAATAGCTTAAAAGCTCTAATCTGCTTTTAAATCAAAGTACTGAAGATAAAGAGGCTAAAAAAGCCTTATAAAACCCCTAAAAAACAAGACCCCGCCTATAATTATATTATATCATATATTTTACTAGTGATTTCAAATTTCAAGGGCCATTTCCATTTCAGGCCCCACCCCTAAATTAGGCTAGCTATGTACAAATAGCGCTAACAGTACCCAATTCAGTTGCAATTTATACAGATCCTCCAGCCCCTCCAGCCCCTCCAGCTCCTGCAGCTCCTATAGGTATTGTAATACCAACTATTTCTTCGAGTACCACCTCGGATCCTGCTACAGTCGCAATTGGGATAGGGACAAATAATGGAGTTACACTTAGAAGCTATAGTAAGGGCGAGAAGCGTCTACCTCAGTGGGTGGATGGCGTTGCGGGGCCGCTACAGAAGCGGCCTCGGTGGCAAGCAAGGCAAAATACTTAAAGGATTTTATATACAATTACATAGTCAACTAGTGGATTTCAATTTCAAGGCTCTGGTGATCGCCCTGCTGTGGACCTTGTCCAGGAAGACCAGCTGCTACATGATCTTGGAGCTGTCCAACCCAGCTCACAGCCATCCAACTAGCGGTAGAACTGGCTTGCTGACCGAATAGGCCCAAGGTCAGCTGCTCACAGTTACAGAGGGATTTCGACCATCCGAGCAAAATCGGTATAATAGATACGGGCATATTTGTTGTGAACCAAGGCTTGGTCAAGTAAACTATAGAGCTTCATCTACGGAAAAAATTCCGTATGGAAATGGATTGATTGGAAATCAATCTGATGATCATGTTGTATATAAACCCTCAAGTTTGTGATGAGAAAATGGGACAATTAATCTTCCTTTGAAACACAACAATATTAAGCTACCAAGAGACATCTTCGTCATGCCTTCGTATTATGCGTCTGTGATCTGGGAGTCGGTGTATCATTGTTCACACCTCGAAAAACATGGTTTCGCACGTAACCTCCTACCAATCGATGATGATAACTAAGGTTCCTACTAGGGGGTCATGACAAATGCCTCAAATTATCGCCGAAAGTCTGGGTCCTAGATAAAGTTATCGCCGATAGATTAATGCAGTTGCTGAAAAGGAATGACAAATCCCGCTTAATATATTAAAGCGCGCTCCATATGGTGGGTCAGTCTATTCTAGTACTAGCTCTAACATATCCACTCGGCTAGCTAGGTATTCATCGGGTTGGTATGGATCCACTATTTTGTGGATCCATACACAGCCAGCCACAAGAAGATCAAAGGTCGAGGCTAACTGTGGAAGTGGAACCGATAATTGGGCTACGTGCTCCGGGGTAAACAATCCAATACAGCACTTGTGAGTGCCATTATAGTCAGTGCGTTTGGTTGCGTTCACGCTGTAACATTTCTAGCAAAAGGCCTCGGTGAAAGGGTATTTGGGAGCTGGTCAGCTGGTGGGGTCTTTAAGATCTGTTTTATTATAGATAGTGTTACACTAGTATAATGACCTATCAGGAATGCGGGATTCCGTAATACCTAGTAACCTACCGCTGAATTCTAAGGAGTGCAATCAAGAAAATGACGAGGTCTGATATCTGATCTAACAATAAAATGACCATATAATATATGCCTAAAATGATCATTCGAATATACGACATCTATGGTGTTGTGGCCTGAATATGGCTTGGTATCGTGATCATGGCGCTAATCTAAGTCGAGTAGGGTGGTGGCAGATATCGGTGTTTTGGTGGTCATTTTGGTTGAGATGATCTTCGATCCGTAGGTTGAGCGTGATCTAATAACCGACCCACCGCTTAATACCCCGGTATTGCGCGTAGCATTAGTCACGATCAATCTAAATTATCCGAATGAGCGCGCTGTAAAGACGTAATTCTTATCCCTGTGAAACTATCCAACTGCCGACCCTACATTTAAGGTACCTGGGATTATCTATATTGTACTGCTCCCTTCTAAGACATACGCTATTAGTTTATTATTATGCTGGTCAACAGCGACAAGAAGACCTTTGAAGGCTCCCAATCCTTAGGAAGCCAGGAAGAGGTCTCATCATGCCATAGAACAGTCGTCAGACCTCGCATCACCAAAAAGAAAGAAACGCACACCAAAGTTCGCAGGACGTTGCCTACCGATCCCACCATAAAAGAGATCAGAAATGTGGCTCCCGCTGCTCACGGTAATAACAATATATCTGCAGTCAGCTCTGAAGTTGACTTGGGTATCGAAATGCATATAAATCGCACAGACGCTGCGTTTTATCACCTTGCATGGGCCATTGTTTTGGCAAAATATTTGAGCTGTGAAAATATCAGTTTCTGGACAGCTGCAGAACACGATGAAAAGTTTGTTACAGCTATGCCTATCAAAATTTAGTTGCAGCCCGCTTGCAGTGTTGCAGGAATGTTGAAAACTCTGAGATCAGAAACTACTCCTGTGGATGAAGTCAAGCCAATCTATCCAATTGTACCATGCCGAATTTCTACCGGCAATGTTGAGGGTTACATATCTCAAAGTATTCTGCTCGTTGACCCGTCGCACAATTCACAATATATCCATACTGCGGGTAATTCTGCCGTATACCCTGGACAACTGTTCATGATCAGTTATGAGAGGAACAAACGCCTGCTTAAACTTACAGCATATTTTGAGCGCGAGCAGCTAGATGAATTAGCGGCTCAAAGAATACTGCGTCAGTACCCACATGTTCTGGTGCAGTCAAGCTTGAATCAAAATCTTCAGATCTGAAAAATACAAGTCTTGAGCCCACAGGATATACTGGACTTGGGTCAATGGAATACAAAAGTTTCCCAGAAGATTGAAGCATGCGTTCATGATTTGGTTGGAGAAGCATGCTCGAGACAGCCCCTAGCCGAGGCAGTCAGCTCATGGGATGGCGATCTAACATACGCTGAGCTGGACAACCTTTCGTCGCAACTCGCTGGCTACTTGATAATGTTAGGAGTGGGGCCAGAAGTTATCGTTCCTCTGTGTTTCCCAAAAAGTAAATGGATGGTTTTCTTTGTGGGGGTTTTCAGGCGTCTCGGGTATCTACAAACCAAGCAATTGCAATTTGATATAAAGGTTTAATTAGGAACTTGACTAGGACACCGCAATCGCCTATGTCCTAGAATATGACAATCCACTGCAATACTGTGGCGCTCATACGTGCGGCCCAACTGCAGGGAACGCTGGATCTATAGGAAGCGCAGGATGACCTTCACGGATGACCTATCTAGACTGAAATCTAGGCCCATCAACTTGATAGGCATCCTGTTCAGATTGAAGGAGACTAGGCTGGTTCCTGCGGATCCACTCTGGATACTATCTGCCGTGAAAGCGGTCTTCTGAGCTTCTCGCAAGAACTGTAGGAGATTTAGCCTATCGATCTGCTTGATTCCTAGGCCCGCTTTCAGTAAGCTCCACTACCCGCTGTCTAGTGAAAAAAAAAACCCCAGCCTACATCTAAAGGCTCCAACAAGTAGAATTGATGCACTCGATCGAAATAACCTTGCCTGATTGTCTGGCTGTACAAAACAGGCTTTTCCATAGTAATCAGTCCTAGCAACTAGTCGAGAAGTGGCCACCACGCCCATAGCAAAGCCAGCTCCATCGAAATTGTAGATCTTCTTGACCGCCATCTCATCTTCAATTTTATTATTCTTTCGCAGTCAAACCATTCTTTAATCACTTTAAGATCTTCGCGTCGAGCACGCCGACAATTGTTGAATCAAGTACCGCGATCCTTTAATATATCTGGTCGTTCCATGAATTTAGAGACGTATTATGCTCTGACTGATTGAACAGGTGTAGTAGCGCTGCTCGTAAGGACACTGTCGGCGATTTCTCGTATATTGGAATATCGTGGAGGGGCCCCACAAAGATTTAGCGGTGTAAGATGTCTCTCTTCACTTTGAGTTTTGGCTGTTGGGGTGTGTCTCCAACTGAAGTTGTTCAATTAAGTCTGCGACGCAGGATTTGCATGGGGATATCAAAGACAAGCGGGGCTTCGAGAATTGACTTGATTTCATCACTTTCGAATAGCTTATAGTGCAAGGAGACTCTCACCGTTTTCTCAATAGAATGATTTCAACTTTGGCGCACCTTTGCTGGCACGGTGAATGGTTGAATTGGAATGGGCTCCCACGTCTAAAATGCGTGGGGTGGAACGCTCGGTGGTGAAATACGATACTCTGAGGTTCGTATAGCTCTGTACCATCAGCGACGAACCTGGGTTGCTTCAAAATTTCAAGGCATCCCTGGATCATTTACAACTGCGCAGAGGCAAACAGTGCATCGTCTCAACTTTATCTGTACACATCAGACCTTAAGTTGCTTTTTGCAGAGGAGCGCTTGAACAGATTCTCGGGACAAGGTGGCCGTAGGGGCTACAAAAGCTACCATAGATTCGGTTACTTACCCTTGCACTACGTTCTGTAAGTCCTCTTCCGAACAGTCAAAGGAAAGCCGCGAAGGCCGCAAGCGCATGTTTGATAAAAGATGCTGTTTGCGTGACTTACAGGCTTTCCGAATCGTGTTTCTACCTCTCAAGGCTAAATAGTTCATGTCTTTACTGGCATGCTACCTCTACGGGCGGTTCGCAAGCATTGTCGTCACCCCCTACTCTCTTTCGTTCCTTCCCAAACCCCTATGCCCAGCAGCTGGAGAGATCACCGGCCTAGTCGAAACCTGATTAGCTACCCATAACGGAGGAAGGTTCGGTGTGATTCTACGTATCGAGAACATAATGGTTTATATACAAGACGACTATCAAGTTGATTGGGAACTAATCTGAAAACATAAGAAAATAGTTCCGTATACGAAGCTACACTGTGTACTTGATCGAGCCTCAAATTCGCAACACTACCGTATCGTAAGTACGCTCGAGGGTTCGAAGAAGATGAGAGAGAGTATGGGTGGTAAAGCCGCCTCCGGAGAATTTGTGTACAGTACCCTTTATGAATTTAAGATGGTCCCAGTATAGCACAACAAGGTGGGAGATTTCTTGAGGGACACGGTACACTAGGCTTTGATGAAACAGAAGACCATGTACCCGCTATGGGACATAATATTGCGCGGCACAAGAAATTGACTAAACATACGGGTGGCTAATTTTCCCTCCAATGATGGTGTATAATGGGCTCACATCACGCAGCTCGTGGATGTCGCCTATCTTGAACGGGTCAAAATGCCAGATGGTCATGTCTGCGTACCGTCCAGGTTTCAGACTTCCTCGCACATCAGATTCCTGTAGGGTCCTTGCAGCCAGGGTTGTATGTAGGGCGATTGACTCTCCAACACTGATTGCATGCTCCGGTCCTTTCACCCCGACAACCGTCTGTCGAGTTGTCATACCCCAGACAGAATGCATGGCGCCATATGCCCCAACAGGGAAATCCGATCCGGCTGACACAAGGGCCCCCAGGTCCAGCCATTCGCGAACGGGGAAGACATGGGATACTCTTTGAGGACCCCAATACACTTCCTGTATACCGGCAACGTCGTGAAGGAGAGGGTGCTGAATCGTTACTGGAATTCCTAGCGAAACCGCTCGTTCACGCAATGCGGGCGTTGCCAGTCCTCCATGCTCCATAACCAATGTCCCAGGAGCTAGGTTTGGATGACGCTTCAAGACCCGTTCATAGACATCCAAAAGGGTCCGGATGGCACGATCACCATATGCATGAGTGCCAATCTTCCACCCTCGCCGGACCACGGCATCCATAGCCTCGACAAGCTTTTCCGGATCCCAGAGCAGCCTACCTCGGTATCCGGCTTGAGATGCGCAGTCGCACGTCTTCTGGTACATTTCATCTGTGGCGGCTGCCTCAATACCGCCATCGATCATGAACTTAACACCCCAGACGGATAACCAGGGATCATGCTGTAAGAATCGCCACTTCTCCATTTCCGTGAGCAGTTGTACCACGCGGCTCACATCCGAAAAGCCTATGGCGGTTATGAGCGCTCTCACGCGAACATGTAGTTTCCCCGTGTCGTGTGTTGCTTTGAGAGCCGCAAGGTCTTCGAGCGAGACACAGCAGTCACGGACGCATCCAATGCCTCTCGCGGCATATGAGGCGGAAGCACCATCCAAACCAGCGATTAGCTTGTCCTTGTTTGGAGATGGTTGAGCACCATCTATTAAGATGACCGCCGAATCTTGAAGCAATCCGTTGAGCTGGCCATGCTCATCCTTCCCGATCTTTCCCCCTGGTGGTACCTGGGTATCGGCAGTAATTCCGGCGCGTTGCATTGCACATGAGTTCAAAACCAGGTTATGGCCCCCACGGCGGACTATGATTGGATGAATACGGCTGACTTCGTCCAGTTCTTTCAACGTAGGCAGGCGTTGCTCGCGGATGTTGAACTCTTGCCAGTTGGTGGTGGTAGATATCCAGTCGCCAGGCTTGGTCACCAATGCTCTCTGTCGGATCAATCCCAACAGCTCGGACAAGTCTCTCGCAGTATGCACGGGCACATCGAATTGACCCAGACCCGCATATATCAGGTGTGTGTGAGTGTCGTCAAACGACGGAAGGACAACCCCATCAGCTTGGTCAATAACGGTCGTTTTAGGTCCGATCAAGTGATCCAGTCCGTTTCTATCAACCGAGAGCCGATGGATAATGCCGTCTCGAACAGCCAGGGCACGTTGAGGAGGATAGCTATCCTCAAGCGTATAGATTATGCTGGCGCGGATCACCAGGTCTGCGTGAGTAGGCATCATTCTGGGCTCAAAAATGACTGAGCTGGTCAAACTCTCGAGACGGTTCGGGGAGTCACGGACGGAAGCATTTAAAATGTCTCAGAAAATTTTATTGACCAGGCCGGCAGTTTGGGGGCTACGTCTGGGCATATTTATATCCGCCAGGATCTCAGAACCACTCCGTCCGTCCAAGTATACCTTACGTATCCCATCTTCGGAGCCACAGTCCCCGATGGGTACACGCAAAGTATCCGAGATGCGCGTCAAAATCATCCAATAAAATGCGAGTGGTGTTGGACAATCGGAGACTGAGCCACCGATGTGTCAGAAACTTGCAACCTTCCTGTCTGCATGGGCGGGGATACGCGGAAAGGACGCGTTTGATTCCGTTGCGGCCGTCTTGGAAGAAGTATAGATATACTCCGCCTTTCGGGATCTCATGTTGGGTTTGCCCTTTATTTGGAGCTATTCGCGAATCGGCTCCGGACTGTTTTAAGTGCACGGACTGTCCTTCAAGTGTAACTGTGTATTTTAATACCAAATATACTCTATGAACGTGATACCTGGACCCTCATTATCGTCACGACGGGAATGAGCTTGAAATAGTGTTTCCGTACGGGGTCAATGTATGTGAACACCCTCAATATCGGCCACGCTGCATGATCGCCTGCCCCACTACTGTACTACTTTTCCTGCCAATGCTGAGCGCTCGTTGCTCGTCTTTGGTGGCCGAGCACTCAGTATTGGTGGAGCAACTGGCGGTTTGCCTCATAATCCCACCCGAGCTCCTGCCGTTATGTGACCGGTCACCGTGAGCAGACTGCCTGGGAGTATAAGTATCGGTTCCCAACTGACAACCAAGAGTATCTTGCATTAATATCGTTGCTATACTAAAGGTTACACGGATTTTGGCAAGTCGTGCCTGAAGTGCACGTCAAGAAGGTCAAATACAGAGAAAGCTCCTCAATTGTTAGCTAGGTTTACCTTTAAGGTGAAGTGTGAAGTCTACCAATCCCGATCCGAATAACAAAGGCATTTACCACGAAAAACAGATACGCCCATCCAAATCTACGTGGCTCATGCAGTTTGAGACCAACCTATACTCGGCTGATGCCCCGACCGTCCTTCGGAAAGGAAGCCAGAAATTACCGAAAAGTTGAATACCTGATAGCTCAATTACCCCTTTTGGACAATGTGCGGGTCATGTGAATCAAAATCCAAGTTCAGTATACCGGTATTAACATCTGTTTTCTTACTGAGGAACATGCAATATGGGGTGCATATGTCACAAAATGCCGTTATCCGAAATACAGGGTCAATCTATCAAGCAACTTCAAGGCACGAAGCACACAACAACGGGGCGGCTAGCCATTGTCACAATACATCAAATGGTAGAGCCAGATCCCAACTAACTGAATCTGGTCGCAGTTTATTTTTAGGATTTTTGTGTGGATTATGGGAGGCATTTGAAGTTGACGACTCGCAGCGGATGTCGTGGCACGAAATTCCCAAATAGGCAGGGCAGGATTCCACGCTAGCCTATTTGGGAATTTCGTGCCACAGGTGATTGTCATTGATGCCGGCCCGGAAGTGGCTGTTTTTTATACTCAGTACAAAGTGCTTACTGTTCTTATCCGCCCTTCTTGATCTCAGCGCGCCTCCGGCTGTGTAGC